TTCTTGTTGTTTTGTTCTGATATATGTTTTCCTTGTGTTTCAGAGGCATGATCCAAAGTCTTTCCTATTTAGCGCTAAAGAGTAAATCTGGTGCTGGGCGTGATGGTGCACGCCTTTAATCCCAGCACTGTGAGTTCAAGGCCAGCCTGGTCTACAAAGCCAGTCAAGGCTACAGGACAGTCAAGGCTACACAGAGAAACCCTGTCTTCTAAAAAAAAAAGAATAAATTTGATCCCCTGGGTATGTTTTCTGAATTAAGCCCTCAGCATCCCTTGTCAGGCCTTTTCCTCAATAGTAATACTGCACCCTATTCATATAGGGTGAAGATTAAGAAGATACTAATAACCAAGTCACAAAATCAAAATTGCATTTTCTAAGCCAACTCCTTCCCCAAACCCCCTACTCCAAAGACAGTTTTATTACAGAGTATTCACTGTTTAAACCAAATATTTCATCTAGTCAAATAATGTAATATTTATCCTGCTAGAAGGAAAGAGTAATGGAGTGAACAAATAGAAAAAAAAAATGCTTTGAGTGTGATGGGAAGGATTCGCTATTTTTCAATTAAAAACATACTCCAAAAACACAACTTTACATTGTTAAGAGAGGTGCCTGTAGAGGTCTGAAAATACAAACATGTATGGAGTAATAATTTTTAAATGATTTTAATCATTTAAAATTTAATAATAATTTTAAATTATTTTAGTTTTAATTTTTAAAATTTAATAATAATAACATAACTTTTAGTTTTCTATTTAAAAGATATAAATATGTACTGTTAAAGACTTGGCCTACCCAGTGGTTCACAGAGAACACTGAAGTTTTGGGAAAAAGTAATTGTTAGTGAACCACAGCCTTTTAAACACTGCCCCCTACTGTTCCCATTCAGCTTCCTCTGACATGGAAAGGATCACAGAAATAAAAACAACCGCCCCTTCAGCCTTTGAAATCAGTTTAGCATTGTTGTTCAGCAGACCAGATTTCACAGGCTGGGACAATTTCAACTACACAGCTGTGGGGCTTCATTAAAGCGAATCCCAGACATTCAAACATTACTTTCATCAGTAATGTAGCCAACCCCAAAGAGGGCAGGATTGGACTTGGGCAACACTGACAATACTTGGAAACACTTGGAAACATCAGTAAAGACAAGAATCCCCATGTTGACATGTGCAACCTTGAACTATTATAGTCAGTCTTATTTTAAAAAATTATATATATATGGCTAGCAAGAATGACAAACTTCAACAAAAAGAGATGAATCTTGCTTTATAACACATAAACTCACAATCCAGAGATGACTTTTGCTTCCAAATGATCTATTGACTAGACTTTCTGACTAGTTGCTTTGCTCCTGAATTCTACTGGTACAAATACTATTAGCAAGAAATCAAAGAGAGCAGCCAAAAAAAAAAAAAAAAAAAAACAAAAAAAAAAAAAAAAACAAACCTCACCTAGAGCATTCTGTCATCACAAAGTGCGCGTCAGCACTGTGCTGGGCCATTTTTCTGTCAGCTTGACACAGGCTAATTCATATGGGAAGTGGGAACCACAACTGAGAAAATGCCTCCACCAGACTGGCCTGTGGGCAAGCTTGTGGTACATTTTCTTGATGATTGATGTGGGAGGGCCCATCGTACTATGGTTTATACCACAGTAGTCCTGCGTGCTGTACAAAAGCAGACTTAGGGGAGCAAGCCAGTAAGCAGGACTCCTTGGGGGTCTCTGCTTCAGTTCTTGCTTCTAGATTCCTACCTTAAGTTCCTTCCCTGACTTTCCTGGATGAACTCTAAGATGAAATAAACCCTTTTCTCCCAAGTTGTTCTGATCATAGTGCTTCATCACAGCAATAAGAAGCCTAAGTGGGGCTGGAAAGATGGCTCAGAGGTTAAGAGCACTGACTGCTCCTCCAGAGGTCCTGAGTTCAATTCCCAGCAACCATATGGTGGCTCACAGCCATCTATAATGAGATCTGGTGCCCTCTTCTGGCATGCAGGCAGAACACTGTATAAATAATAAATAAATAAATACATCTTTAAAAAAAAAAAAAAGAAAAGAAGCCTAAGACGGCACTTCAGAGTGTCATAAGTGTGGAATGTGATGGGTCACTTAATATTACAAGAAGCCTAGGACATTTATCATGTAGTAATTTTAAAATAGGTTTCATAATGTAATTTTCATATATTTATATATTTTGATAATATTTCCCCATAGTGAAATTTCCTACTCCGTCCTGATGATCCTATTCTTCTTTCCAAATAGCTTCTCTTCTGCTTTCATGTTGTTTTGAAAATTCTAGATCACACATGTGAGAGAAGACATGCAATATTTGCCTTTCTGAGTCTTATTTTGTTTAACAAAATGATCTCTAGTTTCATACCTTTTCCTATAACTGACATGACTTATTTCTTCTTACAGTTAATTAAAACTCAATTGTCTCTAGTCTACATTTTCTTTATCTGTTCATGTTTTGACAATCAAGCCATACTGATTCCAAAACATGGCTATTGTGAAGAATGTAGATATCTCTATTACATGCTGACTTTGATCCATCTTGGCATATACCCAGGAGTGGTATAGCTGGACCAGGTGTTATTTTTAATTTTAGATTTTTGAGATACTATCCTTAGTGATTTTCATATTAGCCACAAAAATTCATATTCTTATCAAAAGCATATAAGGGTTTCCCATCCCCCTCACCCCTACCAAGTACTTTGTTACTGGCTTTCTTTTTTTTTTTACTGTTTTAAAATTTTTTTAACTTTTTTTAAATTTTTTATTAATTACACTTTATTTATTTTGTATCCCCCCATAAGCCCCTCCCTCCTCCCCTCCCAATCTCACCCTCCCTCCCATTTCTACATGCATGCCCCTCCCCAAGTCCACTGATAGGGGAGGTCCTCCTCTCCTTCTTTCTGATCTTAGTCTATCAGTTCTCATCAAAAGTGGTTGCACTGTCCTCTTCTGTGGCCTGGTAAGGCTGCTCCCCCCTCAGGGGGAGGTGATCAAAGAGCAGGCCAATCAGATTATGTCAGAGGCAGTCCCTCTTCCTATTATTATGTAACCCACTTGGACACTGAATTGACATGGGCTACATCTGTGCAGGGGTTCTAGGTTATCTCCATGAATAGTCCTTGGTTGGAGTATGAGTCTCTGGGAAGTTTCCTGTGTTCAAATTTTCTTGTTCTGTTGCTCTCCTTGTGGAGTTCCTGTCCTCTCCAGCTCTTACTATTTCCCACTACTTACATAAAATTCCATTCACTCTGCCCGACAGTTGGCCATCAGGCTCAGCATCTGCTTTGATAGTCTGCAGGGCAAAGGCTTTCAGAGGCTCTCTGTGGTAGGTTCCTAGTTTGTTTCCTGTTTTCTTCTTCTAGCTTTCAGAAGCCCTCTGTAGAAGGTTCCTAGGTTGTTTCCTGTTTTCTTCTTTTTCTGATGTCCATCCTCTTTGCCTTTCAGGATGGGGATTGACCGTTTTAGTTAGGGTCCTCTCTCTTGCTTAGTTTCTTTAGATGCACAGATTTTAGTGGGTCTGTCCTATGTTGTATGTCTATATGAGTGAGTATATACCGTGTGTGTCTTTTTGCTTCTGGGAGTTACTGCCTTTCTTAATGATAGCCATTCCTGACTGGAAAAGGCAAACTCTCAGGCTAAGTCTGATTTGCATTCTGTGGTGGCTAAGAATGTTCAGCATTTTTAATGTAAGAAGCTTGGTTTTTAAAACTATTTATTATAAAATAGTTTTAAATAGTTATGTAACCTCAGGTCTCTTAGCCATTCAGGACACTCTACAGATATTATTCTAAAGACTGTCGGGAGGTGGCGATGAAGAAACACATAGAATGATGAGAGGGTTATTTCTTTTCCAGCCAGTTTTTCCCCATTGCTCCCTAATCCCCTATCCTTACCACTAAAACCATGTGATCCACCCATTTCCCTCTTAGTTAAGAACTATGAAGTCATATAATCTTTCTCCATGTCCCTTCCTTCATTAAATTACACATTTTTTTGTATTTGTAAAAGAATTGATCTCTTTTCTATTTATTTTCTTTTTTAAATTTTATTAATTACACCTTATTCACTTTGTATCCCCCCATAAGCCCCTCCCTCCTCCCCTCCCAACCCCTCCCTTCCTTCCCCTTCTCCACCCATGCCCCTCCCCAAGTCCACTGCTAGGGGAGGACTTTTTTTCTTTCCTTCTGATCCTAGTCTATTAGGTCTCATCAGGAGTGGCTGCATTGTCTTCTTCTGTGTCCTGGTAAGGCTGCTCCCCCCTCAGGGGGAGGTGATCAAAGAGCAGGCCAATCAGTTCATGTCAGAGACAGTCCCTGTTCGCATTACTATGGAACCCACTTGGACACTGAATTGCCATGGGCTACATCTGTGCAGGGGTTCTAGGTAATCTCCATGCATGGTACTTGGTTGGAGTATCAGTCTCAGGGAAGACCCATGTGCTCAGATTTTTTGGTTCTGTTGCTCTCCTTGTGGAGCTTCTGCCCTCTCCAGATCTTACTATTTCCCACTTCTTTCATAAGATTCCCTGCATTCTGCCCAAAGGTTGGCCATAAGTCTCAGCATTTGCTTTGAAACCATTATGTGGTACACACAGTTGTAAGCCTAGCACCTGGGAAATGGAGAGAGAAGGATCAGGAGTTCAAGATTATCCTTGGCTACAATATAGAGGGCTTAGGGCCAGCATGGACTACATGAGACCCTGTGTAAAAAACAAACTACAGAATATGACAACTAGACAAAAATTCAAGGGTTCTAAAATAATAACTGAATGCCCAGAAAACCCTTTGATGTTAACTATAATTAGGTATAGATGTTAATTTTCCAATTTGGAAAAGACAAATATCCAATAAATCCATGAAAATGTTCAATTTAGGTCAAATATCCTTAATAGTTCTGTTCGGTGGGCTCTGTGCCTTCAGGAGAAGCAAAGAAGGATTCTTACAGAAAAGAAAAATCTCACTAAGGATGGTATGGGGTTGAAATACCTGTGATGGAACAGTAGATGATGTGAGGAGCAATCTTGTCTATATCCTCATATCCTAGGCCCATCTCAGAAAGCTTGCCAGGCACATAGTTTTCCACAAAAATATCACAAGTGGCTGTAAGCTGAAGGAAGAAAAATCAGATTTTTTGAGGGACTTCCAAACCTTTAACAGCTTTTCCCACATAAACAAACTTTAATTTCAATAAAATTTTCACATTGTAAGAATCAAAAAAATCACAGGATAAATTATGTTTATGGAACCATAAAAGCTCTGGTCAAATTACTTGAACTACTACAGTCAAGAAAACAATGGTTATAATATTTTTGTAAATGTATACTATTAGATTCTGTACCCTTCAAATTTAAGAAACATTTATTGAACATGATCTGTCCAAATATACTCTCAGAATACGTAAAAATAAAAGTACATAAAATCCATACAAAAAAATATCTCGAAACCTTCACTAAAACAATCCCTAAATACAATATCATCATTATAATCTATCCTTATTCTGTAATATTTCTAACTACAACACAGTTTAATACATTAGAACATGATTCTGAAATGCCTTCTACTTTCAAAGAATTTTAACTGTTGCTAGTGAACCGTATTCTGTTTTGCTTTTCAACAACTGCAGGAGTGCATCTTAGCGGGCCTCTCAAGGAGAGAACCTGTCATTCTTTGAAGCTCTAGAAACAAAATCAGCAGATGAGTAGGCGGTCTCTCTGGAGATGCACGGAGAACACATTAAGAAATGTGAGCTCCAGATCACTACTCCAGAGCACAGACTTATTCACCTCACATTTTAGAGGTCTGAGAGCAAACACCAGCATAAGCTGAGGTCCAGTGAGGACTTCTTGGAGAACAGCATCAAAGTGCATGAAGCATATTCAAGAGGAATCACTCCCATTGTGAAATGGGAAGTTGGAAAGTAGGATTTCATTACTCAAATGAGAGCAACTGCAATTCCACGAGAACTAATTTCTTTTGAGGGCAGATACTCCCATGACCCAACTACCTTCCATCTTCCATTTCCACTATATTATATCCCTTACATGTTCTACCATTTCCCAACACTGTCATACTGGGGGCCAAGCTCCCCCCAAAACAGGAACCACTGGAACTACACTTAAACCATATCCAAATAATAGCAGATAAAGACAGAGAAGATACAGGCGTGCAACTGAAATATCACACTATACAAATATCCTTTCAAATCTCAGGTTAGAAGTTGATAAACCTCCCATATGGGTAAGCTATACAGCATACCCCGGGTGTGCTGTTCTAGTGCTACAATTAAATACTCTGAGAAAAAGCAGCTTAGTAAAGGAAATGGTTTATTTGGCTTATACTTTCAGGTACAATCTATCATTAAGGGAAGTCAGAGCAGGAACTCAAGCAGAAACCATGGAGGAAGGCTGCTTACTTACTTACTCCCTGGCTCACATCCAGGTAGCTCTCTCATACAACCCAGACTCATTTGCCAAGGAATGGTACCACCACCAGTGGGAAGGGCCCTCCCACTTTAATTATCAAGACTGTTTCTTATAGACAAGGCAACAGGCCAATCGGATCTGGGCAATTCCTCAACAGAGGTTTTATCTTCCTAGATGATTCTAGGTTTTGTCAAGGTGACAATAAACCTAACACCACACCAGATGAGCCATAATATAAAGGAATGTATTAATGTTGATAATTCATGTACAGAAGATCAACTGAGACACCCCATCTTGTGAAACTGAACAATTACTAGATTCTTGGGCTTTCCGTTCACAGATAGCCATTGTTGGATTAGTTGGACTGCACCCTGTAAGTCATTTCAATAAATTCCCTTTAGATAGATAGATAGATAGATAGATAGATAGATAGATAGATAGATAGATAGACCGACAGATTGACATAGATATAGAACCCTGACTAATACATCAGCCATTTCAGATTCCTTTCTCTTGAGAATTCTGTTTATATCATGACCCTATTTTTAACTGGATTATATGGTTTTTGATATCTAGTTCTTGAGTTGTTTATGTATTTTGGATACTAGATGTCTATCAGATGTGGAGTTATTTTTAAAAAAAAAATCTTTTCCCATTCTGTAGCCTACTGTTTGACTGAATGACAGTGTTCTTTGGCTTACAGAAGCTTTTCAGTTTCATGAGATCCCATTTATTAACTGTTGATCTTAGTGCCTATGATGTTCTATTCAGAAAGCCATCTCAAGTGCCAGTGCATTCAAGGCTATTTATTCCTCACCTTCTCGTCTTTCGGGTTCAGTGTATCTGGTTTTATGTTGAAATCTCTGATCTGCCTGGACTTAAGTTTTGTGCAGGGTAATAAGTATGGATCTACAACCTTCTACATGCAGTCATCCAGTTTGACGAGCACAATTATTGAAGATGCTTTCTTTTTTCCAATGTGTATTTCTGGTTTCTTTACCAAAAATAATGTGTCCATAGGTGTGTGGATTTATGTCTGGGTTTTCAATTAAATTCAATTGATCAACACGTCTGTTTTTATGCCAGTGTCATGCAGTTGTATTAACATAGCTCTGTAGTATAACTTGAAATCAGGAATGGTGATACCTTTAACAGTTCCTTTATTGTTCAGAATTGTTTCAGCTACCTTGAGGTTTGTTTGTTTGTTTGTTTTTGCTTTTCCATATGAAGTTGAGAATTGTCATTTCAAGGTCTGTAAAAAATTGTGCTGGAATTTTGATGGAGATTGCACTAAATCTGCACATTGGTTTTGATAAGATGGACAATTTTATTGTTAATCCTACTGATCCATGAGCATAGGTGATCTATCTTCTGATATCTTCTTCAATGTCTTTCTTTAAATACTTCAAGTTTTTATCATACAAGTCTTTCACTTGCTTGATTAGCGTTATCCCAAGATATTTTATATTATTTGAGGCTATTGTGAAGGGTGTTGTTTCTCCGATTTCTTTCTCAATGCCTCTGTCATTTGTATATAGGAGGGCTACTTATTTTTTTTAAGTTAATCATGTATCCAGCCACTCTGATGAAAGTTTTTATCAGCTGTAGGAGTTCCCTGCTTGAATTTTTAGGGTTCCTTATGTATATAATCACATTATCTGTGAGTATCAAGACTTTGACTTCTTTCTTTCCATTTGTATAACCTTAATTTCCTTCACTTTAAGTATTATATTAAATAGACTTCAAATTCTATATTAAGTAGATATGCAGAGAAGAGACAACCTTGTCCTGTTCCTGATTTTAGTGTGATTGCTTTAAGTTTCTCTCCATTAATTTGATATTGGCTATAGGTTTGCTAAATTACCCTTATTGTGTTTAAGTATGTTCCTCTAGGGTGTTTATCATAAAGGGGCATGGATTTTGTCAGTCTTTTTCAGCATCTAATGAGATGATCATGTGTGGGGTTTTTCCTTCAGTTTATTTATATAGTAGATTAAATTTACTGATTTTCACATGGTGAGCCATCCTTGCATCTCTGCAATGACCCTACTTGATTATTATGATTTTTTATGTGTTCTTTAATTTGGTTTGCAAGTATTTTATTGAATATTTTTGCATCTATGTTCATAAGGGAACTTGGTCTGTAATTCTCTTTCTTTGTTGAATCTTTATCTGGATTAGGTATCAGGGTAACTCTGGCCTCACAAAATGAACTGGGAAATGTTTCCATTTTGTGGAATAATTTGAGGAGTACTGGCATTAACTCTTTCATGAAAGTCTGGCAGAATTCTACACTGAAACAGTTGGCCCCAAGGTTGGTTTTTTTTTTGTTTGTTTGTTTGATTGGGTTTTTTTGTTTTTTGTTTGTTTTGGTTGAGAGACTTTTAATGACTACTTCTATTTCAATAGGGGTTATAAGTCTGTTTAAATTGTCTGGTCTTGATTTAACTTCAGTAGTGGTACTTATTAGGAAACTCATCCATTTCTTTTATATTTTCCAAGTTGGCAGTATAAAAGTTTTTAAAGCATGTCCTTATGATTCTCTGGATTTCCTCAGTATCTGTTGTTATGTTCCTTTTTTATTTCTCACTTTATTAATTTGAGTATTCTCCACATTTTAATTAGTTTGGATAAGAGTCTGTCTATCTTGTTTTGTTTTTTTTTTTTTTTTCAAAGAACCAACTCTTTGTTTCATTGATTCTTTGTATTGTCGTCTTTGTTTCTATTTTATTGATTTCAGCCCTTGGTTTGATTATTTCCTAATACCTGCTACTCTTGGGTATCCTTACTTCTTCTGTTCTAGAGCTTTTATCAGTAGTGTTAACTCAATAGATCTCTTGGGTTCTTTTTTTGGGGGGGTGTCTTTGTTTTGTTTTTTATGTCGTAACTTAGTGCTAAGAACTTTACTCTTAGCAGTGCTTTCATTGTGTCCCATAAGTTTGACTATGTTGTATATTCATTTTCATTGAATTCTAGAAAGTCTTTAATTTTTTTTTCTGTCTTCACTCATTTTTCATTCAGTAGAAAGTTTTTCAGTATCCATGAGTTTGTAAGCATTATACAGTTTCTGTTGCTGTTGATGCGCAGCTTTACTCCATGGTGGTCAGATAGGATGCAGAGAGTTATTTCAATTTCCTTGTATCTATTGAGACTTGCTTTGTGTCCAACTATGTGGTCAATTTTAAAGTTCCAAGAGATTCTAAGAAGATATATTCTTTTGTGTTTCGGTGGAATGTTCTGTAAATACCTGTAAGGTCAATTTGCTGTATAATGTCAGTTAGCTCCAGAATTTCTTTGTTTATAGTTTTTGTCTGTATGACCTGTCCTTCTTCCAGGGGTGGAACCCTATGAGATTTCCCCCTTCCATGTTATCAGTGTTATCACTGTTTCAACACCCATATTGTTGAGACATACCTTTCATGTAATTTCTTGGAAACATAATCTCATAATTGACTTCCTGGCTCTCTGGCTCTTATAGTCTCTCTGCCCCTTTCTTCTTTGATGTTCCCTCAGCCTTAAGTATGGGATTATAGTGGAGTTGCATCAGCTGGGTCTTGGCACCTAGTTGTCAATTGTTCTCTGAATTTTAAACAGTTGTGCCTTTCTGTAATGGTCTCTATATACTGCAAAAAGAAGATTCATTGATGAGGGCTGAGAGCTAAACTTATCTGTGGGTATAATGATAGCATTTATAGTGCTGTTAGGAAATTTAACTGGTTTAATAAAGTGGCAGTAGTATGTTCACCTCTAAAATCCTTGGCCTCACAAGTCATGGGTAATTGGTTAGGTTTCTAGTACAAGGCATAATTTCCTTAATACTGAACAGCCCTTAAATCCAATTAGATAGCTATTGGTAACCACCAAGATATGAGTACCACTATTAAACCTTTAGGAATAGCTTGTCATGCAGGGCATTGTAGTAATTCACAGGCATCTCAGCAGAAAAACTCCTGAACAAAAGAACCAAGGCTACAAAAACAATAACCATGGCCCTTCAACCAATTTCCATACTTGAATCAGTTTGGAGACAAAATATCTCAATGTAGAGACTGGTTTTACTTCAGGAAGAACCTCACTGCAACTCAATAAAATAAAATCAAATAAAAAGTACTAATGACTCTTTCTCCCATCCTTCCACAATGTATCTCCTTCTGCTAGGGTAACCGAACACTGGAGAAAATGAAATAATCACACCATTCAGGGCCTACTAGACACTAGCTCTTAATTAGTTCTTAGAGGACCCCAACACTATTGTATCTCTCTAGTTGAAGTGGAAGTTTTATGAAGGTCAGGGGATCAATAAAGTTTTAGTCAAAGTCTGAATCATAGCAGGTCCAGTGGCTTCCCTGGGTTCACCCTGAGTGTATTTCCCCATTCTCTGAATGCACAATTGGGACAGATATACTTAGAATCTTTACATTCATTCCTTAATCTGTGGAGTGAGGGACATTGTGGTTAGAAAGGACAAATAGAAGCCATTAATCTGCCTCAGGAAAAATAGTGAACCAAAAACATTTGTATATCCCTGAAAATGATTACTCCACCATCACGGTCTTGAGAGATGCAAGGGTGATAGTTCCTACTACGTATCCCTTTACCTCTCTCACTAGGTCTGTGCAGAAGATAGATATGTCAGGGAGCATGACAGTTACTTATTGCAAATTTAATCAAATACTGACTCCAAACAGCTGTGGTTTCCTTATTTGAACAGTTACCTATCCCCTAGTACCAAGTAGGCAGCGATTAATCATGTAAAAACATTTAACGTCATTTTTGTCCATAAAACTCCCAGAAGTAATGTTTTCACCTGTCAAGGCCAGCAGTACACCTACCTTAACAGCTCTACTTCAAAAATCTATTATCTATCCCTATGTCATAACTTAGTATGAATGGATCTTGATTGCTTGCCTCTGCTACAGGTACTATATTATGCTGCTCCATTATATTCACGATGTCATGATTATTTGATAAAGGAAACAGAAAATATCTGTAAAGAAATTTTAATCCAGTAACATGGCTGCTCTTTCATGGGATGACATCCAAAGACCCTCTAGGTCTATGTGATCCAGCTGGAATTCAGACACACTCTGGATTACAGTCTGATCTAGCTGGAATACTTAGTACACACCTTTAATTCCAAACAATTAGTTTGGTAAGGTTAGTTTATATAAGGAAGCAGCCTTGTGTGAAAGTGACACCTAACTGATGGGCAGACAAATGAGAAATATTTGACAGACTGAGTCAGAGATAGGATATGCTCAATTCTTAGAAGAACAGGACAGAAAAACAGAGACTACTTAAGAGAGTGCAGAGAGAAAGACAGTTTTTTATCAAGTTTATTAATAGGACAGTTTTACTGAGAGATCAAGCTAGACACAGGTGAATACAGAACAAGCCAGAGAATGAAAAGGAGCCAGAAGATTAAAACAAATTGTCAGAATTAGTTTGAAGCCATGCAGAGCAACTCAGTCAGAAGCCAAGAGAAGCCTGTTTGAATCAGTCAGCTTGGAGAGGAGTTTAGGCCAGAACAGCCAAGTTGAACCAGCCAGAGATTGTTCAGAAAGATCTACAAAGGCTTGGGAATGGCTCTCATCTCAAACCTTCATCTGAGGAAATTAAAGCAACAGTTACAAACATCAACCATTCTGTACTTGCTGGTAAAGAATATGCACATGAGAAGATGATAAATAAATTCAATCAAAACTCAAGAGCTTTCTATCTCAGCAAAATGTCTAGGAATTCAGTGGTATAAGATTCAGAGATATCCTTTCTAAGGTGAAAAATAAGTATTTTCATCTTGCCCCTTTGACCACCAAGAAAAAAGTACAAGGCTCAATGGACCTATTTGGATCCTGGAGAAAGCACATTCCCCATTTGATTATGTTACCTTAGCCCATACAGCAAATGAGTTGGAAAGTTATTAGTTTTGAGTAGAGTCTAGACCAGAAGGCTTTTCAACAGGTCCAGGCTATTATATGGGCTGTTGTGTCACTTGTATCTCAGGATCTAGCAGTTTCAATTGTATTTCAGGTGTCAATGGCAAAGAGGAAGTTGTTTGGGATCTCTGGCAAGTTTCCATAGGTGAATCACAGAAGAGGCCCTCAGAATTTTACAGCAATAAAGACAAAGTTGATTCTTTGGTTTTAAAAAAATAAAACTTGAATCCCTACTCAAATGGATACAAATCTACTAAAGTGAGTTGAAAAGCTTAATGATGACAAACAAAAAAGATTTGGCTCACATGATGCAGCCAACCACATCTGCATCAGGAAATAACAGATAATAATTTCTAGGTACTATACAGCAAAAGCTCTTCTAAGCATTTAATACATATTAGCTCCATTCTAAGCACAATGGGAAGAAGTTACAGTTATAATCCTACTCTGCTGATGAGAACACTGAGGCACAAGGGAATAATCTACCTACATTTTCATAGCTTGCAAGGGAAGTAGGCAAAGTTCAAACTCATGTACAGATGCATACCTTAACCACTGTGCAATACTACCCCAGGAGACAAACAGGCTGAGATCAGATCTGGAAATATTGGACGCCTAAAAACATGCCAATGAAAGCCTGACTTCTCCAAAAGTTGTTCAAATGTCAGCTTTCCCCCTTACTTGTGTTTTTAAACAAGCTTTATTAAAGTGAATATTAAATTTAACATAGTTTGTTTCTAAAAAGAATGATGCGTGCATCAGGGAATGCTGAAAACCAGGAGAGATCCAAGGGGCTCCACATAGCAATGTGGATCCATAGTACTTACAAACAAGAGGAAAACCCATGCAAAAAGCAACCATCTGCTCATGGGCAGCCGAAGACTGACTGATGTTTTATTGTTATGACTGAGAGCTCACTATTTATCACAGGAATATACATAGAAATAGTTTGTTCAATAAATTCAGTTGCTGTTTATTGCAAGTGTGTTAGCTTCAGGCCAAATTTAGCAAGAGCTATGTGATCTTTAGGGTTTCAGTTACATCACATGCCATTCAATCATCTTCCATGGCAGTGAAGATTCATTTTTAAAAATAGAAACAAAAACACATTTAAATTTTTACAAATGGTGCAGACCTTTAATCCCAGTACTTGGGAGGCAGAGGCAGAGTATCTCTGAGTTCAAGGCCAGCCTGATCTACAGAGTAAGTTATGGATAGCCAGGGCTACACAGAGAAACCCTTGTCTCGAAAAACCAAACCAAAAAACTAGTTAGTTGGTTAGTTGGTTAGTTAGTTAGTTAGTTAGTTAGTTAGTTAGTTAGTTAGTTAGTTAGTTAGTTAGTTGTGTATGGTCATGCACATGCCACATATGCATGTGGAAGTCAAGACACAATCTGTGGAAATGTGTTCTTTCTTTCCATCTTATGAACCCTAAGATTGAACTCTGATCTTCTTGGCAACAAGTACTTTACCGCCTGAGCCATCTCCCTAACCCGAAAATAAAAACTCTGAGGCTTTGAGGGGAAAATATAAGTATGGTACTCAAGACTAGAATCTGGTACCAAATGAATTCCATTAATAATATAAGGATTTTAATTACATGTGAGATATAAGATTATTGAGAGCACCATGCTTTTTAAAAAACTGTCAACTCAGATATACACTCATTGGAGTCAGTGGGTTGTCTTTTTATGTTTATTGACAAATGTATGTGTATAACAGTATTAATTAAGAAAAAGAGGCCATGAATTTGAAATGAGGTAGAGAGGAAACATGCGAAAGGTTGAAAGAAGGGGGATAGGTAATATAATTACATTTTAATTAAATTTTTAAAATCCAAAACATTTGTGAGAAACAAGCCACCAAAAGAGAAAGTCAACACCAATTACTATAGCCACAACTTACAGATTGGCAATAAGAAAGGTTTTAAGATCCTTGTCCCAGGTATCCAAATCCCTACTAAGAACCTCTACCCCGAAGATGCCATAGCATGTACTATACCTCTTTGACAATTCTTGCCCCTCTCGGATCCTTGATATTAACAGCTATACTCTAAAAATCAAAAAATACAGACATTAAAATGTTTTCATAAACCTTTCATCATTACTGTCAGTTCAACTATTACAGAGCCATTCACATCATACAAATTCCCATTGTAAAGCAAGATTAGTATCTTTATGAATAAATATTTAGGTCATCTTTATTGACTTCATTTACAATCAAAATGTTTACCTGACAGCAAATCATAGTAAATACTCTTCAATAGTAATATGGTATAATACCAATAAATGTAAAGAATCAAATTACTTCTACTTCACAGAATATTTCCATTATATATTTTCATAATTTCTTATTTATAAGAGGAGGAATAGTAATAAAAATTCAATTGTTTGGATGTGATAATGAATACTTGAAATATTAGTTTCATATTAAAAAGCAAGCCATGATATCAAAAGTTTTGTAACTGCCAAAAGAATTACATAAATAAAGCAAAAACAGCAAATAGCCTTACTTTTTTATTTCGATTAACACTAAGAAAATATGTACTTTCTGTGTTCACAAAAGGAGGTCCCCAAGTTCGTGTGTCATCACCAGCTCCTGTAAATGACAATATGAGCTATTAATTGCAAACCAACAGGCTCACTCCTGTGCATACTCCCAGGTACCTAAGGAAGGTCAGCTCCACCTTTGGTGGCGGTGGTATGCACCTTTAACCCCAACATGAGGGAGGCAGAAACATGGGAATTACTGTGATTTTGAAGGCAGCCTGGTCTACAGAGTTAGTTCCAGGACATCCAGGGCCCTGTTACACAGAGAAACCCTGTTTTGAAAAGCCAAAAGGAATAGAAGGATGAGGAGGAGCAGAAGGAGGAGAAGGAGGACGAGAAGTAGAAAGAGAGGAGGAGGGAGAAGAAGAAAAGAAAAAGAAGATGGTCAACTCATCCTAGGGGATCCTCACCCCTTGGGGGCTTCTGCCGCTCAATAGAACTTCTCAGATCTCCACTTTTTAATAACTGCCAAATCGTTCCCCATTCACTTTCACTAACATGCAATATTGAAGGTCCAAATCCAAAAGGAAATGTTTTGTTAGCACTCTTTAGCATTGATTAACGGAAAACTTGGGGGGGGTAGTTTTCATTTTTGGCAAGCATGTTGGTTAGTCCCTTTATTATTTCTTGACATTGAACGTAAAATGAAAATATGGAGCTGGGTGCAGTGGCAGACACCTGTAATCCCAGCACTCGGGGAGGCAGGTGGATTTCTATGAGTTCAAAGCCAGCCTGGTCTACAAAGCGAGTCCAGGACAGTCAAGTCTACAGAGAAACCCTGTCTCAGAAAAAAAAAAGAGAGAGAGAAAGAAAAAGAAAGAAGGAAAGAAAGAAAGATAATATGGAGTAAACAAAAGATGCACGTTACATACTATTTAAAACAGAATAATAATGTAAGTATATAGCTAAATTAGCATCAGAGGCTGAGTATACAACAATGACTAATAATCTATAAAATATTTTTGTAATAAAAATCAGAAAAGCCAAAATAGAGGCTGGAGCAATGGCTCAGCAGTAAGTAATGTGCTTGCTGCACAAGCATGAAGACCACCGTTCAAATCCCCAGAACCCATATAAAATTCAGGTGGGTGTGGCAGTCTGCCCTTATTCCTAGTACCTACTAGGTAGAGACAGAGAGTCCACAAAACAATGTAAATACAAATACAAATGTTAACTTGGTTACCAACTAAAATGACAAGAGAATTAAAATGCTCCATCTAGGAACAGATGATGCAAGAAAAATAGTAGTTTAAATTGAGGATGCTGTGGCAGAAAGATCATGAGTTCAAGACCAGCATGCCCTTCCTAGCTTTCTCTCCTCTCCTCTTCTCTCCTCTCCCCTCCTCTCTCTCTCTCTCTCTCCCTCTCCCTCCTTCTCCCTCTCCTCTCCTCCCCTCCCTCGCCCCTTCCCTTCTCTTCCTCCCTCTCCCCTCCCCCTTCTCTCCTCTCCTCTCTGCCCCTGTTCTCTCCTCTTTTTCTCTCTCCCTCTCTCCCCTCTTCTCTCTCTCTCCCTCACTCTCCTCTCTCCCATCCCTCAAAAATAAAATAAAATAACCAAGAAAAGGTATGGTATTGAAAATAGGATTGTAATAAGAAAGCTAGAACTTCCTAGAACCTGGAGTGTAAGAGGGGGGTGTTCAGCATTCTCCAGGATATCCAACAAAGACAAAAACTCACTGACTGGGTGGGTAAGGTGTTGCCTCTGGAAAGCAGGGATTGATAAGCGCTTTTGCCAGTGGAGATTGACAAGCTCAGGCTGAGATGGATGCAATGGTAATATTCACCTTGGTGCTATGAGAATCTTCTGCTAACTGCTTTGGGTTCTTGTGAAAATCTATTTAGCAAGAAAATGAATCTCTCAAGTATTCTACTTTTAGAAGTTTGTCTTTTTCAATGGCTGGCTCTTCGATACCCCCCCCCCCCCCCAGGGAGGAACAGCCTTGCTAGGCCACAGAAGAGGACATTGCAGCCAGTCCTGAAAAGATCTGATAAGCTAGGGTCAGATGGAAGGGGAGGAGGTCCTCCCCTATCAGAAGACTTAGAAAGGGGCAGGGAGGAGATGAAGGAGGAAGGGTGGGATTGGGAGGGAATGAGGAAGGGAGTTACAGCTGGGATACAAAGTAAATAACCTGTAATTAATATAAAAAATAAAAATTATTATAAAAAGTTTATCTTTTATTGTAAATTAATAAGTTCATGTTATCATAAATTATTCTTGTTTGAGTCTTATGAATAAATGACTATTATGGTACTGGACTAGACCATTTGCACTGATTTGAGAACTCTGTCCCAGACCTTTAAGGATCAGATCTTTTAAAACAAATGATAAAGTGATTTCATCATTTTTTTGAGACATATTCTCATTTAGCACATGCTGGCCTAGATCTCATTAGGTGGTAAAGAATGACTTTAAACTATTGATCCTTCTGCTCCCACCTACATAGTGCTGAAGTCACAGCTCTGCACCACCACAAAGAAGAATAACAATCATTTTTGAAAATTCAAAAAAAAAAAAAAGTTAAAGGATAGTGTAGAGGACAAGAAGAATGGAAGAATGGGGACTGGATTACGCCTAAGTACTTGTTGGAGAAAGGGGCATGCTGCATTGACATTCTTCTGAGCATTTTATTATGAACTAACTGATTGCCAGTTAGTTCATAATAAAATGATAATAACTGGTGCCCCTAAGATGGCACCAAATAAAGTGAGAAATGTGTACAAAAATGGAATTTAGTTGGTAGGCAAAGAAGAAAGAATGAACGTCAAAGATGTCACATCCTGTCAGTTGAGTCTGAAACTTTGAGGCTCCAGACCAACCTGGGCTAGGTAAAGAGATGTTATAAATAAATCAATCAATCATTGAATCAATTTTAAAGAACAAAAACTGCCAAAGAATTTATCCAAATTAAGCTTTTTGTTATTATTTATTACTTTACATCCCAATCACAGCTTCCTCTCCACCTCTCCTCCCTGTCCCTCCCTTTCACATCACCTTTCCCTCATGCCCCCTCCTCCCTTTCTCCTCAGAGAAGGGGGGCCTCCCATTGATATCAACCAGCCTTGGTGTATCAAGTTGCAGTAAGACAAGGTGCATCTTTTCCTATTGAGGCTGGACAAAGCAGCCCAGTTAGGAGAAAGGGATCCAAATAATATAGACAATGGAATCGGAGACAGCCCCTGCTCCCACTGTTAGGAGTCCCACATGAAGACCTGTGCAGCCAGAAAACTATGTGACTAGGTGAGCAAGAGTGAGGTGGAAGCATGTCCAAACCCAGGGAATCTCTTGAGACTAGCCAGCAGGAGTAGGACCTTTCCCTCCCTGTTCTGAGCCTGCATGTCCTAGTACATGTACCCTTAGGGACCCATCTCTGCCACCCTTGAGGTAGTCACCTACCCTGGTGGCTAGGTTACAGGTCAGACTTTCTCTCTCCTTATAACCTCATGTCCAGCAGCACCTGGAATTCCTCTTCATGCAAATAAGGCATTCCCAGTACCTTGGCCCTGGCCAATGAGATTTATACTCACCCTAACAGCTTCTACTCTCTCCCCAAAGTTTAAAGAGCCTTTGTTTCCCACCCACCCCCAGGCTGTCTCACTGAAGCCTGACTGCCAGGAAGTCTGTTTCTCAAATTCACTGCTACCTGGGATCTCCTCACTTGCTGCCTCCACTTCCTCCCCTCAGGATCGAGTCAGGCTGAGGAAACATGCTGGAGCCCTAATGGCAGTGACCCAGGACACAACTGTTACGTATGTGTAGGGGGCCTAGGTCCATCCCACACATGCTCTCTGGTTGGCAGTCTCTATGAGCCCCTTTGGGTCCAGGTTCATTGATCGTGCAGGTTTTCTCGTGGTGTCTTTGACCCCTCTGGCTCTTCAATCCTTTCTCTCCCTCTTCCACAGGATTCCCCAAGCTCTACCTAATGTTTGACTGTGGGTCTCTGAATCTGTTTCATCATTGCTGTGTGAAGCCTCTCTCATGACAGTGACACTAGGCTCCTACCTGCAAGTATAACAGAATATCATTAATATTGTCAGGGGTGGGCTTCCTCTCAGAGCAAGTGTCTTAAATTGGGCTAGTCATTGGTTGGCTATTCCCTCAATTTTTGCTCCATCTTGTTTATCCCTGCACATCTTGATGGCAGGAGAAATTGTGTGTCAAAGGCTTTGCTGCTGGATTGGTGCCCCAATCCCTCCATTGGAAGTCTTACTGAGAAGTCTTACAAGAGCTGGCTATTTCAGGCTCATATTCTCCCATTGCTAGCAGTCTAGTGAGTATATACCATGTGTGTCTTTCATGGTCTGGGTTACCTCACTCAGGATGATTTTTTTCTAGTTCCATCCATTTGCTTGCAAATGTCATGATGTCCTTGTTTTTAATAGCTGTGTAATGTAATAATTGTGTAAATGTACCACATTTTCTTTATCCATTCTTTGGTTAAGGGACATCTAGGTTGTTTCTAGTTTCTATCACAAATAAAACTGCTATGAACATAGTTGAGCAAGTGTCCTTGTGATATGGTGGAGCATCTTTTGTGTATATGCCAGCAGTGGTATTGCTGGGTCTTAAGGTAGAACTATTCCAAATTTTCTGAGAAACCTCCAGATTGATTTCCACAGTGGTTGTACAAGTGTGCACTCCTACAATGGAGGAGTGTGTCCCTTGCTCCGCATCCTCACCAGCAAGTGAGGATTTTATCTTAGCTATTCTGATAGGTTTAAGATGAAATCTCAGAGTTAGTCATTTTGTTTTGCACTTCCCTAATGACTAAGGATGTTGAGCATTTCTTTAAGTGCTTTTCAGCCATTAGAGATTCCTCTGTTGAGAATTCTTTGCTTAGCTCTGTACCTCATTTTTTAATTTAGTTATTTGCTTTGTTGCTATCTAGTTTCTTGAGTTCTTTATATATTAATGGATATCAGCCCTCTGTCTGATGGAAGGTTGCCAAAGAACTTATCTAAATTTTGCTTTATAAAATCAAACTTTTATGATAGTAAAATGATGAAATAATTATTTTTTTAGAAAATAATGGCTTGGGTTAGAGCATTTGGATCTCTTGATTTAAAAACTTTGACTCTTTTTTCCTTCTTTCTATCTGTCTTCTATTTCCTTCTTTTTCTGTTCCTTTTCCCTTAAGCCCAAAGTCACAGACTAGGGTCACACTAACTCATGGGATGACTCATATGGGCTTAAGAGAACCAAGATCAGAGTTGAGTATTCTACATAATAAGTACTAGTTCATCAGCACACAGAGTTGTTGCGAAGATTAAACTAAAATCAATGAAGGGTTTAGAACTTTGCCTAGCACTACGGTGTTGCTATTAGCATTGTAATTATGTATCATAATAGAACCTTTCATTATATGAGAAGGAACTTCCTTGAGCCTTAGCCCTTGATACATATAAATAAAAGATAACTAATATAGATACAGAGAAAGACAGGGAATGGAGAAAAATACCTCATTTCCATTATTTTCTCATCCAACTTATAAATACACTAATCCTGGATTACTTAAAGAATTATCAAAAACATTTGTTAGCCGGATTCTACTTTCTAAAAGTAAGTAGACTTACCCGGTCTTTCCACTTTTATAACCTCTGCTCCAAGATCTCCTAAATTCATTGTTGCAAATGGTCCTGCCAGTACTCTACAATGTTAAACAGTGATAGATAAATGACCATCTTGAAATCTATTAAATATTTTCTTAACATAGAGAAGCTCATATAATGTTAGCAATGATCAAACTTGTTAAAATTACAGTATTTATCAAGAGTTTAAAAAAAAAAAACTATAACCCCTTTGATGAAGGAACTTTGTTTCTAGAACTCCATCCTGGGAAAAAATTTGAAACTAAAGCAAAAATTTGTATATAAAAAGGCCTTATTTATAAATTTGGGGGGATAATCAGGCAGCAGCATGACATTCATAAATGTCATCTTTTGTTACATTTAATGATCATAAGAAATTATTTTAAATATATTGGCACATTTAAAACATAGGTAAAAACTGCAGGGCAGTGGTGGTGCATTCCTTTAATGCCAGCACTTGGGAGGCAGACGCAGGCAGATTTCCAAGTTTGAGGTCAGCCTGGTCCTCAAAGGTAAAGTGACACAAACCTTGTTAGATCCAGAATTCTCACACCTTCCAGGGGCTTCATATTGTCAGTACCTGCCAAACATATAGCATTAAAGAGTATAAATTAGAATTTTTTTCAAAGTAAACTGCGCAATTCTTCATAATCTAAGTTATTTGTTATCATCAAAAATAATTTCCCTTCATACTAATTCTGCTTGATATGTAACATAGAAACCTTGGCCTGTCTCATTCAAAAAAAAAAAAAAAAACATCTACAGGGTTCTGCAGGAACCATAAGGCAAGGATTTACAACCTCCTCTGTGGTCCGGAAACACAGAGGCCAGGATGAGGGTCAGGGCACAAAGAATGAGGGCTGCCACTCAGGCCTCCCTCACAGGGCACCAAGTGGAGCCAGAGGGAAGCCAGATGGGTTCACCTTCCCAACCAGCGCAAATGTGCCGGAAATGTACTCCAGAGAGTAGTCTTTCAACGTCTCACTCTATATTTAATTCCCACTCTTGCCTATATGTCTCCTGATGGGTTTGACTTGTTATTCTCAGACAGGTTCCAGGCTGTTCTGTGCATTGCTCTACCCACTATTTTATGGTGCGCTCTCTAGTGTACTTTTCATCTGCCTCTCATGTACTCCCCTACTTATTCCTGTCTTCCTTTCCCCCATCCTTATACTCTTTCTACTTCTTGATTTCACGATCCATGGTTTTAACAGTCTCTAAAATCTTTGGATCCTAACAGTATTTCGGCTTTCTCCTCCCAGTCTGTTACCCACCATGTCAATTTTTTTTTCTTTTTAAAGTTGCTCTAAATCTAATACTTATCCCTGTCTTTGCTTACCTACTTCCTTCCCAACATAATCTTAGTTACTAAAACTAGCATATGCTGTACTACCCATGTTTGTTTATCCTCCAGCTCTTATGGAAGTCAAAGGATCACAACTGTTAACTGGCTAACACAACATTTAAATAGGCCAACTTGATATAGAAAAATCCCTCACTGAATCTCTCTTCCAAACTTATTATGGATTGTATCAAGTTGGCAGTTAAAACCAACAATCGGGACTGGTAATATGGCTTAGCTGCTAAAGGCAGTTACTTCCAACCCTAACACCCTGAGTTCCACACCTGGAACACAAAAAGTAGAAGAAAATCAACTCCCACACGTTGTCCACTGACCTACAAACACTCACTGGGGACATGCACACCTTTTTGCATACACACACGTGTAAATAAAATAACCAATTCTGGGAAAAGTAAGTGAAGAGAAAAAAAGTTTAAAACATATTATATAAAAAAAAAAGTTTAAAAAAAATAAAGGAAAAAACACATGCACCCAAACGCATCACTGTAAAAATGTGAAAACATTGTTTTTGTAACCAAAGAAGATGTGAAGCATTTCAAGGAGCAGAAAGACAAACATGACCATCTTTAAAGGACTGCTGATCAAGACAGTTTCGAATTCCTTAAACACGTGTGTGTGTGTGTGTGTGTGTGTGTGTGTGTGCGCGCGTGCCTGGAACACAGTGAACTGGCAAATTGGCACCTGCCTGTATGCAGCTACCACTGGGAGCCAGCAAGGGTTATCAGATCCCCTGGAGCTGGAGTTACAGGAGTTGGTGAGCTGCCCAATGTGTGTCCTGGGAGCTCAACTCTGGCCCTCTGCAGGAGTTGCAAGCAGTCTTAACCACTGGGCCATCCCTCCATCTCCAGTATCATATTTCTCAATAATTAAATGCTAAAATGGAGCAAAACCTTTGAAATTAGAGGGTACAGAAATTTCTTCCCTAAGTTCTAAATTCAGTCAAGATACAAAGTATCTTGAAAGTATGAAAAATAATATTGAAAACCTCTATCTCTCTGTATCTTTTTTCAGAAAGAAAAATATTGCCTGTAGGAGTCACCATTCAACAAAAAGATGAGTAACAAACAAAACAAACAAACAAACAAACAAAAACAGACAATAGATCATACAAAGAAAAAGAGCATAAGAGGATGCCGAGAATCAAAAATGGTGGACAAATGGTTCAGGATGCCTAAAATGGAGCAGGAAAAAACTGTTAAGCAGAGCTCAGACACATGGGCAGATAAACCTTTCAACTGTGCTGCTGATGCAACATACCACTCTTGTGTGAACTGACTGCTGAAATACTGTTAAGTCTAATGATCTGTACAATGAACCCTGTCTTAGGTTAGGGTCTCTTCTGCTGACGTGTAATACCATGACCCAAAGGAAAGTTGGTCCATATTGCTGTTCATCATTGAATGAAGTCAAGACAAAAATTCAAACAGGGCAGAGAATTGCAGGTGAGAGCTAATGCAGAAGTCATAGAAGGGTGCTTCTTACTGGCTTGCTTCACCTGGCTTTCTCATCCTGCTTTCTTATAGAACCCGGGACTACCAGCCCAGGGATGGCACCACCCACCAAGGGCAGGCCCCTCTCCCATTCATCACTAATTGAGAAAATGCCTTACAGCTCGATCTCATGGAAGCATTTCTTCAACTGAGGCTCCTTCCTCTCTGATGACCCCAGCTTGTGTCAAGTTGACAAACAAAAGCAGCCAGGACAAACTCTATCACCCAAAGTATTCAGAGACATCATGTCTAGTCGCTTTTTGACAAGATGACTTTTGAGCATCATCACCTATCATAATTTCTAACTAACTGCTGACATTATCTCCATATAACCACACTGCAATTTAAAGTTATAAATACAGGAGAGCTGCCCGGGAAAGGATAGCAAAAACTCCAAGGGAGCTGCTGCTCCTCAAGAGATCTCCGTGTTGTGCAGGGACCCAAGGCAACTACCAAGAAGGGTTTTACCACCCCTCTTCTACCACACACCAAAACACTGATGCTATAGAGACCAGTGGCTCCTACACAACCCTCCCACACGCGGCATCAAGTGAAGTATTCAAGAGCCAGACAATCTGAGAACTTTATCTTTCAACACATCACAGCTGTGCCAGCAACTCATTCCCCACGTATTTTTTAAATTTCTTACTTTCGTGTATTTAATTTCCACTCCTGCATATACGCCTCATGATGGTTTTGATTGTGCTTGCGTATCACTCAGTTAGGTTGCAGAACTGTTATGTTCCTCCATCCTGTAAGACGATCTTCCCTCTACTTCTCAACCACATCTCACACTCCTCCTCTTATCCCTATGAGTTTTCTGAGTCTTCTTTATCTCATTCTTATCTCAGCCTCCTTTTTCTTCTTGATTGTAACCGTCCATAGAGTTATTATCTCTCAGATCTATAGGCCTAGAGCTGAAGAGATGGCTCAGTGGTTAAAAGTGCTAACTGCTCCTGGAAGAGACCAGTTTCAGTACCCAGCACCTGTGTCAGGTGACCCAAAACTGCTTGTAACTCTGAGGGCATCTGTACGCATATACAGTGCAGAAACTCATGCAGGAGCATGCATGCACATGCACACGCACGCGCACACACACTCTACGGGTCCCAAAAATATCTGATTTATTTTGTTCACAGCTATATTACCCATGTCGTTTTTTTTGTTGTTGTTGTTGTTTTTTTGGTTTTTTTTTTTTCTTTTCAATGTAGATGTGACATTTAATTATCATCCTACCCACTGCACTTTTCTCCACTCCTAAGTTTAGGTAAAATTTAAATATACTCTATACTATCCTTGGTTGTTTGTCTTCCAAGAGTTATTGAAGTCAAGGAGCCACTACATGATGATCATAACAAGCAGCTAGTGTAGCTGTCCCAGTTACACTGTTCGGGGAATAATACAAAGTTTACTCTTAAGTACCCCGAGCTTCTGGACTCAGGAACTATTTTCTGAACTACATACTCAGCTCCACCACATCTAAGTCTGACTTGAGTATTACAAAAACTCCCACAGAAAGAATAGAGCTTAAAAAATAACAAACTTAGCAAAGAAAGAACACCGTATGTGTAAATACCAATGCAGTAACAAAGAAATATATGAAACCAAGACACCATAACTCCTTCAAAAATTACTAATCCTACAGCAATGACTTTTATTAAGATTAAGTTAGATGAAATCCTGAACAGAGAACTTAAAAGAATCATTAGAAACATGCTGAAATTAATAAAATGTAACTAATAATAAAAAATTAAATTAAATTAAAAAAGAAACATGCTGAAAGAAAGCAAAGAAAAAATTAAGACACTGAACAAGAACACAAACAGGTAAATAAAATAAAGAAGGAGAAAATATGAAACATGAATTCAACAAACATAAATACTGAGGGAAAAACATCTAAAATGCTGGAAATGAAGAAATAACACATCAAATTAAAAAAACTGTAGAAAATCTCATTAATAGAATGGAGCAATGAAAGAATAGACTAACTCAGCTTGAAGAAAAGGAGAGGGAGTGAAACAATCCAACAAGGACAAAGATAAGCTATTAAGGTACCAGGAGAAATCCAAGATATACATGACACTTTGAAAAGGGCAAATATACAGATAATAGGCATAGAAGGAGCTCTCTAGCCTAATGCCAATGAAAGCATTTTTAAACAGCCATAAAGAAAAATTTCTAAGAATTACACAAATGAAATCCAGTCCAGATACAGGAAGCATTTAGGACACCAAACAGAAAAGATTTAAAAAGAACTTCCCATACATGAGTAGTGGCACATGCCTTTAACCCCAGCACTCTGGAAGCAGAGGTAGGAGGATCTCTGTTAGTTCAAAGCCAGCCTGAACTAGAGAACTAGTTCCAAGAAAACCAAGGCTCTGTGTGCACACGGGGACTGGGAGGGGCACACACAGAGACAGAGAGACAGAGACAGAGAGAGAAACCCTGTCTCAAAAAAAGAAAAGAAAAAAGGACCTCCCTTCATCATAGAATAATTGGAAAACTAAATATAACAAACAAAGAAAAGATATTGAAAGTAGAAAAAGTGAGATGCCAAGTCTCAAAAAAAGTAAGTCCCACAGAATAACAACACATTGCTCAACTGAACTCTCAGAAGGTAGGAAGGCCTGCACAGGTGTGTTTCAAGTTCTGACGTACAACAACCTCCAATGCAGACCACCATCCCTAGCAAATATATCTGTACATTTTTTTCATAATAAAGATTGG